AAAATGATCCTTTAGTGCAATGGTGGCATGAAAGCATTCCCTGGCACACACCTCTAAAGGGCAAAAGAAAATGACTGTGTTCCTTTCCCTGTTGACCTACTTAGTGGGAAGAGTGTGAAGTCCCATTGCTGCTTCTCTCTTCACCAGTTTCATCTGGTGTCTGTCCTGGTTCTTCTGTATTTGTCAGGTGACAAGACGATGCCAGAGCAGGCTATACTGATTTTGACCTAAAGTTTCCCCTGGAGGCTATATATGATTGCTATCAAATTATGAACCAGGACAGTTACCTGTGAAACATGTAACTCCTGTAGTTATAGGCCAGAATCTTTAGTAGGAATTGTCCAGTAAATTTAGGTTTCCCGTCTAACAGAAATGTAATAATAAGTGTAAGTGGAGCCCTCTGGGTAAGATTTGGAGCTTTACAGATACAATGGTGTATCCACTGTTTTTAGTTTGATCCTGCAGTTCCTTCGTGCACGTCTTCCATTCATAAATAATTTCATAAATAAGAGGTACAAAATTATATTTGATAGAACATAAGCAACATCTATCTACTATAAGCCCTGAGTTTGTGGAAATACATCTTTTTAGGTTAAAAAAAAAGAGTATGTGAGGTATGTTTGATGCCATATTTGAACAGCTAAAATTCCTTTCTTTACATGCTGCTTCATGCTACTGCGTGTTCCTGGAGCAGGAGATACTTGAACTTCTAGTTAATAAGTCTTCATGATTTTAACAGTAATAGTTTTGAGCTGTTGTCCTACAGATGTTCCTTTCCGGTTGTTCTGCAAGTCCTAGTTAACTTAATAGTGTGAAGCTACATTAATTATTAGCCCACAACCTAATTTTCCTCCAGAGTATTCCTGATAAAATCCCAGTGAGAAATTAGCCTGCCATGCCCTCATAATGTTATCTGATCTAGACAAATATATATGCAAGCCAGAATTTAGCACCTTATGTTTCCAGGTTTTACAATTATTGCATTTACTGTTAGAATAGTTTGAAAATGACATATTCAGAATAATAGACAGATTCTTGAATACATAAATGGAGCAAATCCAGCGACACAGTAATTTAAGCAATTCTGTGAATCTAACTCATGTCCTTCATGAGCTGATTACAATAACAGTATCCAAACTGGAAATCCACACTATTCACTGGCTACTTAGCAGATCCATAAGAGGAGGCATTGCCTCATCCAAGTTCCTCCATTCTAAATAAAACCAAATTGCTAGGGGTAAAAAAAAAAGGGCAGGAAATTATCCTTATTATACTGGAAAAGGGAGATCAGCATTTAGAGTAATGTGGCCATGGGTATCTTAGAAATCTGGAATGAGACCATGAATATAAGTAAGATTTCTCCATTCTCAAGCAATTCCTTATTTAGAGGCTTTCTCTCCATACTATCTGCTCCTTCTCCCCCCCCACCCCCCCCAGCTCTTGTTGATTTCAAGAATATCTCTGATATAAGTCTGCCCAGAATGAAAAGTCAAGTCCAAAAATAAACCATACACAGTATTTTTATCCTAGTTTCTGAGTAGGTCCATACTCCGGTACAAGAACTTAATGTCCAAATAGAAGTATCATCAGTGTTCTTACTGCTATTCATCCTGAACTGAGTGGTGAATGCTAGTGGTTTTTGCATACTTTCCTAAGGAGGTATAAAAGGCCTGCTGTTCTCTGGAGCGTCAACTTCCTTGGGTAACCCTGTTGCAGTACGAGTAATGAACAGATGTGCTATTCATATATGTTGTGTATAAGAACAAACTGAGAATAGGCTCTATTTTATTCTGCTAAGTACCTCGGTAAATAGTGGCAATCATATTCAAAAGAACAGTACTCAAGCCAGATTTTTTGACAGGGGTGTCTTACTGAGCCTGGTTAGTAAAATATGAATAAAATATGAACTCCCTAAAGCGATATAAAGCCTGGGAGAGAGAACCTAGTTGTTGAGACAAGAATTCATTGCTACTTTGGTACCTAAGGATCTCCAGTACTGTAATCAACTAAGAACAGGAGGGGGAAAAAAAACAAAACAAAGAGGCAATATACATTCTGAACCATGTTGCATCTCATCTGAAATGATATACTAAGCACAGTTTTTTGACTTGATTATTCTGAGTGCCCACTGCTGCAACATTTTACTTGTTTCGAAAGGGGTTCCTCATCTTACGGGAAGTTGGCTAAGTTGGCTAACAGAAGTAATAGTGAAGCAAGCATAGGAAGGAGCAGAAGAGTAAAAAGAGAAGACTGAAAGAGAAATAGAATAATTCATAGTCTAGAAATGCAATAAGAACTGCGCCGTAGTGCAGTCTTATTTGCTGCCCAGAACTCTTGATTACAACAGGGAGATTAGTGTTGGACTGAGGCCAGACTCTGCCAGTGTGAATTGCAGCAATTGAAGGGTAGCATAAATTAATATTGGGCATAGCAACATAAATTAGGCTATTTAAATCTCATGTTCTCCTTGCATGAATATGTGTTAAATTGTTGTGTATTTTTTCTGGCACTGTGTATATAGATAAGCAATAACGATGCATATTTCTCCCCTAGATCATGGTAAAACAGAACAAATGTGTGTAAAGCTTTTACAGAACCTTTGCTATGCTACAATATTCTTAATACAGTACTATTGAAGATAATGACATGTATGCATTCTCTCTTTGTTCTACCAATAATAGTATCCCTTATGAATACGAAGGAGCAGAGGGAATGTAATATCTTTTAAATAAAAATTGCTCTTTGAATACTATGAAAATACAAAACTGAATGAAATGAGTCACAGTATTCATCTGTAAATACTGAAAGCTTATTTTTTGCTTTTAAACCAGTTAAAAATTGGATCAAATAAGACCTCTGAGTTAGATTGAATTGCATGTAGTTACGTGATCCCTATCACATTAGAATGGATTTTAAAAAAGTACAAAAAAGCTGTTCAGCTTCTTCCATTATCAGTCTTGTGTGTATCCCCTCATACATCACAGTTTATCTTTACTCAAGAATATGCTTTACCTATTAAAAATGAAAATAATAATAATGATCAAAAAGACATAGCAAAGTGATTGGTCTGTTTCAACTTGTCTTTATACTGTATCCCCTCATACATCACAGTTTATCTTTACTCAAGAATATGCTTTACCTATTAAAAATGAAAATAATAATAATGATCAAAAAGACATAGCAAAGTGATTGGTCTGTTTCAACTTGTCTTTCTTTATATTCAGATATCCACTGAATTTTTTGGTTTAGCGGTTGCGTGAGATGATGACCAGAAAATGCATCTGAAACCTTGGAAGAAAGGTAAAAGTGAGATAAGCAATTCTTTTTTGGTCCTAAGCCCTTGAAACATCTCAAAAAGGGATAAAAAAAAAAGTGTTCAGGTCCTACTGATAAAAGCAACACAGCACTTCATAGAGAATCAAGTGACTGAATTCTGGAAAATGCCCCTAGAATTAAGTTTTGCTGAAGTAGGAATAAGTCTAGGTGTTTCTAATAATTTAAAAAGCATACTTATGATATCTCTTGTATTTTTTTTACAGCATCATACATGTCACTGTGACAAAATTAGGGTAGTGGTTTGATCACTGTCTTTGGTATGTTCTTGTGTCAAATTGCAGAAGAATGTGGGTTTTGGTATCGGAAGTGAATTTGTAGAATGTTTTTAAATTCCATCCAGGAGCATCAGAATTTTGGACTGCTCTTCTGATGACACCACTTTGTATTTTAATCGAATGTGGGGTGACAATAGGAATTTCTGTATGTCTTTCACTTTATATTGACTATAGAACTTGAAGGATTGTGACTGTTAAAAAATGGGTTAGATATAGCTGCCATTTATGTATTTCACAGTACTTTTGGCGAGATCTTTATGAACTGATTTGATGCCTGACATTCAGTATGTTTATTTGGTTGATCCTTCGTTCTCCTTTTTGTAGTCATATCTCACCTACTGGAACGAATGGGATTAAGAGTTTGAGCAGTGCCTGATGCAGGCAGCAGAGACAGAGAGGTAACACGGATAATCTGGGTTGTGCTGCTGGGGATCTGAAGGGAAATAGTAGTCAGGCTCTCAGTTAATGCTGGACTGTGGAGAAAGAGTTGACCTAAGCGATGAAAAAAATGCCTAACCCACTTGCTGCATGTCTTGAATTTGCCTCCGGTTGCAAACACCTTGAGATGAATTTTCTGGGGTGAGTGCTGCTCTTGATTTATCCTCGCCGTGATCCTATCTACAGGGCTCTAACGCACCAAAACCATTCTTTTCCAAGCAGGAGCGCCCACACTTAGTTTTATTGAGACGTTAGAATTGTAGCTGTGATGTCAAATATAGCCAAGCTGCATTTTCACGGTGCTCACCTACAGAGGGTGGAATCAGTCACAGTTTGGATTTTCCAGGCGCAGAAGGAGTAGCCAGGTCATACAGTTTGTGTGACAGCGGGGCAGGGGGAGCAATGATTTGAGATTTCTGGCAGAGGTGTTAAAACTCTAGCAAATCCACAGTGGTACCCTGTTTGGGAACTAGGACTTATTTTTCCGTTTAGGTACAGAACTAGGAGTAAAAGTTAATTTGGGTTTGTTTGCCAGGCTGCTGCAGCTGGCCTGGGTGTGTTGGGGAGGAGCAGAGGGAACTGTTTTCTGGTTTGCTTGTGCCGTTGGAGGGAAACTTGAGCCACGCTTAGGTATGAAATTCCTTCATCCACATCAACCTCTTTTTCTTCCTTAAAAGAAACAGAAAAAAAAATATAAAACAAAACAAACGAAAAAAACCTAGAAGCCAGGGCTTGTCACCGATTTTAGCCAGACTGTGCCTTACCCAGTAGCGCAATACTCATTTCGGCGGTGAAGCGGCGGGGGGCGGCGGGAGCGGCGGCGGGGCGCAGTG